AGTTATATGCAAAGGGCTTCCCTACACGGAGCATTTTACATTTTTGGAGGTTAAACGGTAGTCTGTTTTTCAGTGACCAATCATAAAGTGTATCGGGATCTTTTTGTAATCGGTGACTGTCTTCAATGGTGCGAATGCTGGTCATATTTTGGAAAATGGCGTGAATGGTAGTAGGCCACTTGCATGCTGTATTCATCTGCCTGCTCCATTTCAACAAGGCCTAATGGAAGTTTTGGAGACCATCCAACACCTGCCATGTTTCGCACAGAAAAATGGACGTTCGTCCGGACATCTTTTGTGGGGAGGCTTTTAGTGAGTTGTTCATGCATATATCACAAATTTCTCGGGCATCCACTATTCAGCAGACTTGATTGGAGGCACTGGTTAATCGACTGACTCCAAGCAACACCAACATTGCCAATTGTTTGTGTATATGACATTGACGGACCTCGAAAATGTAGTTGGTGCATTCTCCAACAGGTTTCGCTAGCCGCCTTAAGACCATAAGGAATCTGTACTCCAGTATCATTGATACAGTGGGAGTCAAACGAAGATCTATTTGAGTGTCACTCGCTCTGTGACTATTCCTCTTGAATAGGGGTACTATTATCGGCTTACTTCCATCGTCCCTGGCGGTCTCATTCTCCAAAACAGGCGCCGACACTCTGGATGAAGAGCAACTTGGGAATTCACAGTTGTCTTCAAACACAGGGGAAGGAAATGCATTAGAACCAGGTACGCCAGGTTAGTGTTTTGTTAGTGTTGTGGCTGTAACGTAATTAGGATATGTGCGCTTAATAAAAATAGATACAGTGCAAAAAGTGGAATAAGCCAAAAAGTGACTTATCGTCCGAGGACAACTGTTGAGAGCTCCTGGGTGAAGTTCTAAAGTGACTTATCGTCCGAGGACAACTGTTCCGGACGCGTGACATGCCTTCTGTGCAGTATAGCTGCTACACCTGTCCCCTAGTTAACCGTGGAGACTTGTGGAGCTCGGTTAACTTCCTGTCCTGTGCGCGCGTGGGTGACAGGCCAAGTTGAATGCCTATTTATTGTGTGCAGTGAGAGGAGAGGAGTTTCCCTTCGTGTTTGCACGAACATGAATAAAACTTGACCTAATGTGTTGACGTTCGTAACCTGGGCGCATGACGCAGGTGACAGCCGCGTAAATAAAAATGGATTGGAAGCCGTTGTGTACATGTTCTCGGCTAAGGTTGAAAGTGGGACAGGAACTGCCACGTGTTCTGTTTGTGACACGTGATCTAGTGAGTGACCACTACGGTTTCATTTTCACGGTCCGTTTTTCTGGCCAATGCCCACGGCCCGGATAGGAAGCAGCAGACGACCAGCGGAATTTTTGCATGAAGTACTTTGCCCAAAATTCCGAACGTGTTCCTTTACTGGATATCAGAGAACCAATGAGATCTTCAGTATTTCCGCTGGTAAAAGAATACCGAGGACGTGTTGAGAGAATCAGGTTGAACATGCTGGAAGCATCTTCAGCGGCTTTCGTTTCGTCCCCTTCTTTCACCTTCTGCATTCATCAAATGCCCCGGTCTGCGCCGGCACACATTTATACCTGCTACCGAATGATTCGCCGGAGATTTTTATCCTGCCCTCCAGCAAGACCATGGTCCTTCCAGAGATCCAGGGCTAGTAAGAGAG